TCGGACTTGTGGTTTTTAACAAGAAGTCGAAAATATCACTTTTTACCAAAAATTACAAAAATATTCACCAAAATTAGAGAATTGAGGATATCATCACATAATGAACAAATCTGAGAAAGGTCCACATGTAGTACCTATATATGTAATATCAAAGCAATTGGACTTGCGGTTTTTAACAAGAAGTCGAAAATATCACTTTTTACCAAAAATGATAAAAATATTCACCAAAATTAGAGAATTAAAGATATCATTACAAAATGAACAAATCTGAGAGAGGTCCACATGTAGTACCTATATATGTAATATCAAAGCAATTGCACTTGCGGTTTTTAACAAGAAGTTGAAAATATCACTTTTTACCAAAAATTACAAAAATATTCACCAAAATTTGAAGATATCAACATGAAATGAACAAACCTAAGAGAGGTCTACCCAAGGTACATATACACCAAGTATCAAAGCATTCAGGCTTGTAGTTTTCAAGAAGAAGTCGAAAAAGTAAAACATTGACACGGACGACGACGACGGACAATCACTCATATGATAAGCTCCGCTCGACAAAGTCGACAGCGGAGCTAACAAGTACATCTCTCCTCTCTTCCTCCTTCTCCTCTTCATCTTCCTCCCCTTCACAGTGTGATCTAAGTATTGTTTTTACTTGAACTGGACTCTTGTGTAAAACAAGCGACAGTTTCATCAAGAGTTAAGACATTAGTAACACCGATTTCCAAAAATTCTGACATGAGTGTGCGCACATAGTTTATTTTATTAATTTATTTGTGATTCTATTTTAAAAGCAATAATAAATGGATGCGTAGAGGTCTCCGCTTGCAGCTAAAAGTGACAAGCACCTGAAAAATCTTTTTTAAAGATCAATACATTCAACACAGCACATAGATGGAAATGCCATCAATAAAAAGTACCAAAATAGATGAATCCACTTTGCTGCATTGCCAGAGCTTTTGTAATCCCGCTATTCATTTATTCCACTGGAGAGGTTCACTAACGTCCTGATTTGTGAAAAAGTGCATGAAATTGAACTGATACGTCACAAGGTTCTATTTAGGTTCTGTGATTATGAACACAAAAGGTGTATTGAAATCAAAATACCAGAAAAAAAAAAAATGAATTCATGACATATAACTGCATCTAAAAATCTACATGCTCATCTAATTCATGAATATTTATCTATTTATTTGCTAATTGGCAAATATGAATATGGTAAAACAAACATTGTGCAACATGATACCTGTGACAAGTTTGAATTGAATCACTCTGAACATAGATATAAGTGCACACTAGATATGTACACAGAACACGATTAAAAACAGAACAGGGATGTGCTAACATCGGCTTGTCGTTTTCCAAAATAGCGAATAAAATAACTCATTGTTAAACACCAAAAGAATGACGCGAGTTTCCTTCATCAAATCATTGGATCAGAAAAGGCATGCTCTAAGTTTTCTTATTGACATACTAACATCTAAGATGAATCTCAATCAATCAATATCATAATAACACCATGTGAGTTTTTAGACTTCATCAATTTATAAAATTGACAGCAACTTTAATATTGAATAGTTTTAATACCAATCACATTATATATTTCACAAAACTTATCTGATGGGCTTAGCAGAATTCTGAAGTCTGCTTCAAAGGCTAAAGCTCATTTTGGCAATAACAGCAAAATTAATTACTGATATGTCATCATGAAAACTACACACAAAGATAATGCTATATTGATGAAATACAAGGAAGGTGACTTTTGCACTAAAACACAAAGATTGGTGATGTAACCCACACCAAAACACAACAAATGATGACATCACTCACATGGAAATAAAGAATGATGACATCACTCACATACACAGGTATACTAATTTTTTCAGTTCTCTATTATTTAATTTTTAACTGAATTAACCAACCAGTATCTTTACAGTGTTTCTTGCATTGCACATATCACACACAGAGTGACCTGAATATGCAGTATGCATTATGAATATGCATAATCATGATGAAAAACACAATTATTACAATGTTGGGAAAAGGGGTATTTTTTTTGTTTTTGTTTCAAGGGCTGAATATGTATGAATAAGGTAACTTAAAATATTCAGGAATGTATTGATCCAAGATTTACAAATAGAAGTGCCCCCCCCCCCTGTAACTTAATGGAATAGTCAACCATTAAAGTAATAGAACATGTGTTTGTCTGCTAAACCTTATTATCATTTCATTTCCTGTGATAATTTCTTCTGACAACAATAAACACTTCTAGTCAATGATTCCTTATAAAAAATAATAAAAACAAGTCATTGTCAATGACACGTCCCCGTTCCGTTCATATTTGAGTGACAGATACATTCAAAGCAGATCATGACCGAAATGCACCTGCATATGTACAACACATTGTGCTAAATCTGAACAAAATCCATCCATGCATGACTGAGATCCGGTTCTGGAATTGTGAAAATACGTGATTTTGATGCATTTTCGGCCTTAAAATGGCCATCATTCCGCTATTGTTAAGCAGATCATGAAACAAATGCACATATCTATTTGTGACATGATGTACCATGTGTGTGTGAAGTTTGAACTTGATCAATCCAGACATGTCTTGGATACGGATCCAGAACTGAATTCTTTAACAAAATGGCCGCCAGTCGGCCATTTCGAACTTGATCTAAAAAAAAAAAAAGACATGCATCAAGGTCCTATTATGTTTAATGTATGTACCAAATTTGAACAAAATCCATCCATGCATAACTGAGATACGGGTCCGGAATGGTGAAAATGTGCGATTTCAATGCATTTTTGGCCTTAAAGCGGCCCCCATTTGGCTATCGTTAATGAGATCATGAAA